ATGTGTACATAAAGCAGTTTCTTAGAAATCATGCAGAAAAAAAATCACATCTTGAAATGACAAGCACAGAGTACATGATGGATCTGACAAAATTGTGAGTATGTTAGTGAACATTGATTAATGTCTTAAAGGTTTAGCTCATCCAAAATGTAACTTTTTTATTAATTACTCATCCTCATGTCTATATAAACCCTGCCCTGAGACCTTAGTTTAACTTCAAAACACAAATAAATATATTTCAGGTAAAATTTGAGAACTCCCTGATCCTATATTGATAACAAGGTTCCTAACTGTCACAATTGTGTAGAGGAAAGGGGCGAGGACTGAATTGCAGAACTAAATGGGTATTTATTAATAGTAAAAATAAAATAAACGGCAAAATAAACTACCCCGAGGGGGAAAACATTAACAAAACAAATAAATGCACAAAACAAACTGGACTGGGTAGGCTGGTAAGAAACGGGGCTAGACAGACAGGACAAGGCTACAAAAGACGACAAATGATGACGAACTGGCACAGGACGGCAGACATAATGTGATTATAAGCAGAAGTAAATTGACACAAACAGGTATAAACTAATAATGGGTTGACAAGGAGGGTGGGACTAGACAATAGACGGGAGAGCACATGACACAAAGAGACAACACAAGCCATGCGCTCACATAAAACAAGACTAGAACATGCAGCCAATGAGAGAACTCATTATCATTAACCAAGTGTTCGTATGACAAGACAAAGACAACACTGAAGTACACAACAAAAGCACGCGACCACAATGTAACCACAGAGCCACGTGCTTTGACAACAGACACAAGACACGAGCACACGAGAGATAAACACCTTACAGTGCGCTCACACATATGCAATGTGCATGCTTCATCTCAGCATCAACCAAAACCTAAACCAACTAGACGGAGACACTGAGAATGAAACAGCGCGATGCTGACAGAACAAAACACAAATACGAGTACGAGTGCGCGCGTGCGAGGCATGAAGAGCCCGCGCGGCCGCATTATGCGGGAGCGCGCACGCTCTGCGCACACCCACGACGGCGCGTGTGCACACAGAGACACACAAAATAACAGAAACAGGACAAGATACAGCTAGTGTCTGGACTCTGCCACCAAAACAAGAATTTACAAGACCAGAGTGGCAGAACCCTGACGCTAACTTGTTAAAAGTCCAAAAAAATAAAAAATAAAATCCTCAAAAAAGCAACCAAATGCCTTTTCTCGTCCTCAGTGTTTCTTCTCACCAGTGTCAGTATAGTGTGCATGTTCACGTTTCATGCTAGGCCACACCTCTGACATATTACATTGTATGTGCTTTGTTTCTAAAAGAGGAAATTCACTGCACAGTGCTCTTAAACATGTGCACTATACTGACACTAAGGAGAAGAAGACTAAGGACTGTTGAATAAAGCATTTTATATTATTCTCATATTCTGATTGAACCACAAAGCCATGTTTTTTTTTTTGTTTGTTTTTTTGCACTCTTAACGAGTCTATGATCAAGGAGCTCTCAGATTTCACCAAAATTTTAAGTTTTGGGGGTTTAGAATGACATGAAAGTCAAAATTAAGAATAGAATTTTCTTTAAAGTTAATCAAACATAATACAAAGATAAAATCACTCACTGCTCTTGACTAATCCCTTCTGTAACTTTGTTAAAGATTAGTCTAATTAGTTAGCAATTAAATCCTTTAAAATAAAATTCTATTGTGAATTAATTAAACAAATCTTTAACTTGTAGATAGATAGAAACTCAGTGGGCTCCAAGTTTGTTTTGTATCCCACTGACTTTTACTACACACACAGCAAAAAAATTATTTTCTTACTTAGATTATTTGTCTTGTTTCCTGTCCAAATATCTGAAAATTCTTAAATCAATAAGAACTTTCTAGACAAACAAAGCATAATGTCTTGTTTTAAGAAATAATATGCCAAAATTAAGTGAGCCTTTTCTTAAAACAAGCAAAATTATCTGCCAATGGGGTAAGCAAAATAATTGAATGTCAAAAAGAAAAACAAGATTATTTAACTTACCCCATTGGCAGATTATTTGCTTGTTTTAAGGTAAAACTCACTTAATATTGGCATTTTATGTCTGAAAACAAGACAATATGCTTTGCTTGCCTAGAAAATGCTTATTCATATAAGACTTTTCAGATATTTGCACAAGAAACAAGACAAAAAATCTAAGTAAGAAAAGCATTTTTTGCAGTGCAGACAAAAAACAAAGCAAAAACAATTTCCAAAATTCCTCTGCTAGTTATTAATAGATTATGGGTTTAGAAAAATAGAGTGACTAAATAAATGATTTCATAAAACAGAAGTTGTATTTTGTTACCTCTGAGTCTGTGAGGTGAAACTGAAGCTCGTAGTTGGCTAAATTAGATGTTTGCTCACTCAAATGCTGCAGTGCCAGCTCAACAGCAGGAAGAACCTCAGCCGTAATGTTTCCTTTCCCCGGAGCTCCACTCAGTGGCATAATCCATAAAACTGGCAGCTTTTGTCGCACCAGGCAATAACACAATGGCACCCGAGTTAGTTCCCAGAAAAAAATAACATGCAACAAGCTCCACCAGTATTCCATTCTCCCATTGGAAACTCAGACCCGTTTTCAGAAAGCAATCAACAGGCAAAACAATCTTACGCTGTCCTGTGTGAGGTGCTGCTTCTTACAGTAAGCATTTTCTAAAGCCCGGGAGAACTCAAGCCCTCAACCATCCACAGGGATAAAGGGATAAGAAGTGACTGTGGACATCTGCTGCTGTTCTCTAAATCCTCAGAAACAGAAGAAACGCTGTCACACAATTGCCAGGACACTCAATTTCGCCATAATATTCACATAATGGCATGGGCCATTTTTACTTTTTTATGTGAACCAGCTGAAGCTGGTGCCCTTGAACAACATTAAAAAAAAAATTAAATGGTAGTGTTTTCATACAGTTTATGTATGAGGAAAAGAAAACAAGAACAACAACGTCTTGAAAAAAAAATCCCTAAGAGAGCAGGTAGGGTAGTCTACATTAGCCTAAAACTGATAAGAAAAGTATAACATATTTATAGTATAAATTGTTAACTAGTCATGTCATTGAGTATAGCACAATTGAGACAAAATCATCTTTCTGTGCTGGGTTAAGATGAATGCCAATGATAAAAAAGTTGGCTGATTTTCTATTTGGGATTTGTCAGCATTCCTAAGTAAGTAAAATTATTTAATTGAAGAAGTGATGATTATGAATAATGGAAAAGGGGCCCACATACACTGTCTTTGTATATAGAGCCTAAGCCTATACAGTGCATGTCGCTGTGTGGCTCCTCTAGTGGTGACAGACAGTTGTTGGAGCTTATGTAGAATGTGAACACTGTCAGTAATACATGCCAGTTAAAACAGGATGTGCCACTGGAACTGTCACTTGGCACAGTGGCATGTGCTAGTCGCCTTTATGAATAATATTATGTATTGTTCACCTAAAAATGAAAATTCTTGTTTGAGTTTATTTTTTCTGCTGAACACAAAATAATATATTTTGAAGAATGTTGCAAACCAGTAGCCATTGATTCTCAAACTATGTTTTTTTTTTTTTTTTTTTTTTTTTAACTATGGATGTAAGTGGCTAATTACTAGGGCTGTTCTTTGCACTCGTAATGTTTTACCATCATCTCAGACTTTTCTTGTTAGCATTTGGACTGGGGATATTGGTCTCGATGGAGCCAAAAATATATAGCTTTTTTCACCTATGAAACAAAATCATAGCAGGCTTGCTCAGGTGACATTACTGCAAAAACCAAAGTGTATGCAATCTAGAATGGGCATTGACATTAGTTGTCTGATATGCTTGGCTGAGGCTGCCATAAGGCACTGCCCATAATTATTTTCTAAGCAAAACACAGCTAATTTATTATATTGCCTACAGTGGGTGACAATTTAAAGAGACCATTACCGGCTGCCTCGTACCACCGCTGCCGCACTGAACGTGTTTTTAGGTACAACCGCAATTTGCGACTATGTTGCCAGGGGGCACAAAGGGACAGGATGTGAACAAAGAGAAATTCACAGTAGCTATAAAAACCCTGCTACTTGTAAATGAAAATGAAATAATGAAACAAAGCAAGATGATTCCTCAATTAATCATTAAAAAACTTGTCAACAAGCTTTATTATTATTAAACTTGTTAAGTAAAATGAGGATTCATTTTGGAAAGTAAAATTAAAGAAATAAAAGACAAAAAAAAAAGTACAAACATACATACAAACAAGTAGATCTAAATAAATAAATAAATAAATAACAAAGCAGTGTTTTAGCATAAACACAGAGATGTTCAGTGTTATCTTAAAGTGATAGGACTAAGACAGTCAATAAATAAGCTTTTTAATTTTTATTTAAACTTTTCGTTTACATTTTCGTTGAAGTTTATATTTCTCATTTTATGTCTCAGTTTTTGTACATAAATAATAAATGAATGATTAAATATACCTAAATTACTATTAATTTAAATATATTTCCAGCGAGACATGGAGACTAGTGCATATATACAGTATATATATATTATTTTTTTTTACTTTTTAAACTATTAATGGCTCAGTATTTTTTTGTGTTCTAATTTTAATTTCAGTCACCTTGCATATGCGTGTGAAATATAATGCACGCATAACAGCATAAATAAGGAAAATGCAGTCAAAAGTTACAGCTAATTCATCAAAATTTGCTATATTAAATATGTATGTGGGCAAGAGTTCTTTCGAGTGAAAGGACTACATAAACTCATCATGTTTCAAACACAATACCCACAATATACAACTCTAAATACACCTCTGTGGAACCCTTTTTGTCAAGTATATTTATAATTTAGCCTATATTTCACAACACATGGCGCAGAAATGGAGAAACAGACTTTGAGGCTGATTGTCCAAGTTTGCTCAACCAGTTCAGACTTCATACTAACTGCTTAATTTTAACCCAGCAAAAAAAAAGAAAAAAAAAAAAGATCAAATTTAATAAAACTTTTAGCTAGTTTATTTTAATGAACTTTTACACAATGTATACATGTGAAGGGTCCTGTTTAACTTTTTTTTGCCTTAAAATACAGGGACATTTACATTCATTAGAAGACAAATTATAACAATTGACTTTTTTTCATAATGGCCATAATTTTAAGTGATCATATATATAACTAGACATTAATAATATCTCACATTATGAATTTTTTGCCATCGTTTCTTCAATCCAGTCCAGGTAGTTTTGCACTTTAGTGTAATAACCTTTAGTGATTGTTTTAGCACATATAGGACCCCAAGACACAATGCCTTTCACCACATAGCGATGCTCTTCAGTTCCATCGCCCAGCATTGGGAAAAACAGAGGACCTCCACTGTCTCCACTACAACTGTCAATACCATGAACATCATCTCCAGCACAGAACATGTTATCACTGACTGGCAAATCACCTGAAACACAACTCTTGAGACTGTATACATGAACATGACCATAACGTAATAATTTACTTACAGTCCTTCCATAAACTCCAAAACCTGAAACTGTTCCCATCATGCCCTCTTTAACAGCTTCATCTGTTTTCTTTGGCAAACACACCGGCCTGATGTTTGGACCAAGAGGTACCATAGCAGACATTTTTATCAGAGCAATATCATTATTAAAGTCTGACTGACGCCCATCTTTATCAACCTTCTTATAATTTGGGTGAATTATGATCTTTTCTGTTTCCATAAAAACTGCATTTGTATCCTGAGCATTAACTATTCCTCCAAGCCAACTCATGTTGCGGTTTTCATTTCCATCCACCAGGCTAGCTGCTGTCAGAGCCCAGTAATCACTGATCAGAGTTGCACTACCTCTAGGGCTGGACTTATGGAGGAGCTGCCAGGGAATCTCTCCTGATCTTGCTGGCTTCCCACCAAAGACTCTTCCAGCAGACAAGTCCTCCATATTTATTCCACATACTAGTGTGAGATAGAAATATAAAGGTAAGTTAAAACAAATATGTGTGTTTCAGATATGTGCATTCAAGATGAATAAGTACCTGGTTCACATTTAGGAAAAATTTTTGTTAACTTTTCGCCATTCTCAGACACCCAGTTACCTTCTGCATTGCAGGTAAAATTACCTAATGAAAGGAAAAATAAGACGATGTAGAATTAAATACACTTTTGAGAATTACATTAACGTAATGCATGTAAACCATACAAATCTTACCTTTTTTATCTAATTGATAAAATTCAGATTTGCACTTGAGACTGATTTGTTTTAGATAAGTTGTCGGAGGATCTTTTTCTGAGAGCTCCATTAATTCTGAAAGTTCTGGAATGCCACAATCCACAGCTGAAGAGGAAACACAAAGAGTTTTGTTGATTGTTGATTGTTTTAAGTTACACCTTCCATTATCAACTCCACCACCAAAATTGACCTCGGTGTTCATTCCACTCTCTCAGAGATAGTGATGAATACAGAATAAAGACATTTGATCTACAAACAGCATCAAAACTGGCCTAGAGCTAAAGCCTGAACATAGAGCCCAGAATTTCGAGCTACAACACTGACTATGGGCATATTAGAATCACAAGGAAACAAAAAAAGGTATCAAAGAGAACAAATCACTTGTAAAATCATAGAATTGTGAAAAAGTAGGCCTACTCAAAATGGGATGCACCTTATGTATTAAACATTAAGGAGGACTATTTTTAAGACCAGTTTCAAATGGTCTAACATTTGCATTTAAAAATATGAATAATAATATATAATTGCAAATCAACAGTATGTTTCTCATTTCATCATATTCAGTTAAAATCCACAAGCCCTAGATTCTTGCAGCCTACTTACACTATCTTTCATCATCAAAAGTCTATTGTAAGTGTAGGTGTATAGCTGGATTTCATTTTGGGTATCTGTGACAGAAAGCCTGGCTTCTTTAGTTATATTTTCCATCTTTGCATTGGGGCCATTTTGACATTGTGGACTGTTAGACCACCAATAAATGTTTTAACGTTTAAAAGGTTATTTTACCCAAAAAATGCTATCATCAATTTATCTTCTCCCACTCATATTTTTCCAAATCCACAAGAAATACATGACGAAAAGAAAACAATAACATCTTATAAAACTACCTTTAAAGTCTGCTCACCCAGAACTCTGATGCTCTAAAATATCCACAGATATATAAAACATGAAATCTAAAACTAAATCCCTGTTAACTGTGCAAGTAAATACAAGCCTTCTGAAAAAAGAGTCACCATAAGACAAACAGATTTAATTTGGGCATTTGGGTGACTCTGATCTCTCAGATTTCATTCAAAACATCTTTATCTGGTTCCTGAACTTAACACAGGTTTGGAACAGTACGAGAATAACAATGAGCGTTTTTTTTCTTTGGGGTGAACTAATCGTTAAACTTTAAAATCTTTTTTCCCCACACAATTTTATTCCTGTATCACTTTATAAGTGTCACGATTGATTCAATCAAAAATTTTATTATTGTTGCAAGGAGAGACATGACTGCTAAAACTTCTTAGTGGCAGAGCAAACAAAAAAATACATGCAAAATAATAATTATATGATCATTCTATTTGTGTAAAATGTAATTTTCCCAGCAATAACACCGATGTTTCTTAATCATAACTCACCAACAGCCTTGTAGGATGCAGTAAATCCTGTGTGTGATTTAAGGTTTGAATCATCACTCAGAAAAAAGAGCTGCAGATGAGAACCGGGAGCCAAGATGGGCTTTTCACCGGGATGAAACCTGTCTGTGAAATTCTGTCCACAAAACTTCCACAGAACCTTATTATTAAACACAACCTGAATGCAAATAATGGTAACTGCATTTTACTGCTGCTCAAATGATTGTGTAGCCTTAACAAGATATTATAAAAAACAACAGTATTTACATTTGACATTTTTATAAGTAAATTACCATGAGAAAATTGTTGCAACAGTTTGGAGAAGGCTTAATGTCCAGGTGATTGATAGTTAGCTGGATCTGATACCCATCCGGCACCTCCAGCTTCCAATGTTGCATGAAATCCACTGGATATGGGTTAGGGTACTGTGGAGAAGAAACCTCCCCAAACATGGCCAGATCACACTCACACACATCCACACTTGCCCACAGAAGGCTAAATCGGTGTGTTTGGTAGACAGAACGAAATGGTTAATTCTCATATTAATTTAATAAACACAAGATTTTTTTTCACTGATAGTTATTAAAAGAATAATTATAAATTCAGGTGAAACATAAAAAAAGGACTTACCAAAATATCAGCATTTTTTCAGACATGCTGATGTCAATGTAATGCCTTCATCAAAATGATAGCGCAGTTGAAAGATTTTTCTGTAGTTTACAGTCTAATCTACAGTGAAATGCCTCTATATAGTGACAGAGCAAGGGTCTAACAGTCAAGAAAAAAAGTCAAATTTGTTTGAATTGGCTGTGCTATAAAAAACAATGAAAGTCAAATACACAAAAAGAGAGATGTCAACAATGCTTCCAGTCAAACTCCTTTTTAGCCTATTTACTCAGTGGTGAAGGGTTAAAGTCTACAGACACACACTTCAATGCAGAACTACTAATTTGAAGATCCAAAGTGTGGTTGTGTTCAAATATGTTGTGTCCGCACATAATAAACTACAATTTATTTTTACATTTCAGTCACGGATTGCCTTTTTAATAATGCTGTTTTCACTGGCACCAATGTACCAAGATATCAACATAAAAACTCTATTTATAAGCTATGGCATACGTTTTGTCCGGTTTTGATAGACCTCGTCAGAACACACTGTTTGAAAAGGCATGCTGGTTTGTAAACACCCACTGCTTTGATTGGTTTGCTTTTGAACAGTTTGCATATTTAAAACCTTTCAAGGCTTTGCTTGCTGATTAGATCTCAAAGTTGTAAAAGACAGCCATGTGTCAACCCCGTTTTTTTTATTTCTGAACAAAACACTCTCCCACACACACACAAGCACACAGCATGATGTACTCTGACATAAATGCATGCAAAAATATTTAAAGAAATGGAGTAGATGCCTTGTTAAATCTTTTTAACTTAAGTGGTAGAGAGGTTTATTTTACTTAGGTTGAGCGAATGGGGTATTTAATATAAATCACCAGAGTAACGTATTTTGTGTTAAAGATAAAACTATAACATTAAATAAACTAAACAAAAGAAACAGAGAGAGAGAGAGAGAGAGAGAGAGAGAGAGAGAGAGAGAGATGTATTGTGTTGTATTTTGAATATATGATGTAAATGTAAACACAGTCAGGCATTAATATCAACCTTTACATAAACAGATGAGTTTGAATAAAGTGTACTGCTATTATTTCACTTCAGAGAAATCACAGTAAGAGCTGAGTGATAAAACACAATGCAGAAACATGTATTAAACACAATACTCAGTGTTACCCTTAATTACAAACATATCTGGCAAATTTCACAGTCAACATATTAAATTAACAAAAGGTACAATTAAACATACGTTATGCATCTTTTAGTTAAGGTAAATAAATGTATAATCTGAACATTTTGTGTTCTGACAAGCGTGATGTCTGGTTAAGTCATTGCACACATAGTGAACAATCTGGCCTGGCTGGGTTTGACATTGTGATATTTCCCATTTTCAAAATAAAAGTCCCACTGACAGCTGATCCCCTGATGATGTGACAGCTCATCAGGGCCGCATGAGTAGAACACATACCTGCCACAACTCTCGCTTTTCCAGGGGGCATCCCGTATTTCACACTCATCTCCCGCTAGCCTCCTGGTTTGTTATTTCTGCCAGAATGCTCATATAATTCCACAAGTCCTCAACTTTGGTACAGTAACACCCTACAAAGTCTTTAATTTTGATACAGTGATTTCTTTTTTAAAATGAGCATTTTAGCTTGCTTTTTTTCTTTGGGCAAATTAGACATGGCATAAATAGGCTCTATTTTTTTCTTCAATGCAATGCTGCTTTCAAAAATAGGGAAAAACTATTTGCATTCCTCATAAAAACTGATTTGAATAATGTTTTTGCTTGCACAGTGTATATTAATTATTTGCAATAGTTTCTTCAATCCAGTCCAGGTAGTTTTGCACTTTAGTGTAGTAACCTTTAAAGATTTTTCTAGCACATTTAGGACCCCAAGACACAATGCCTCTCACCACATAGCGATGCTCTTCAGTTCCATCGCCCAGCATTGGGAAAAACAGAGGACCTCCACTGTCCCCTCTACAACTGTCAATACCATGAACATCATCTCCAGCACAGAACATGTTATCACTGACTGGCAAGCCATCTGAAACACAACTCTTGAGACTGTATACATGAACATGACCATAACGTAATAAATTACTTACAGTCCAATTATAAACTCCAAAACCTGAAACTGTTCCCATCATGCCCTCTTTAACAGCTTTATCTGTTTTCTTTGGCAAACACACCGGCCTGATGTTTGGACCAAGAGGTACCATAGCAGACATTTTCATCAGAGCAATATCATTATTAAAGTCTGACTGACGCCCATCTCTACCAACCTTTTTATAATTTGGGTGAATTATGATCTTCTCTGTCTTAATAATGACTGGACTTTCATTCGAAGCATTAATTATTCCTCCAAGCCAAGTCATGCTGTTGCTTTCATATCCATCCACTACATGAGCTGCTGTCAGAGCCCAGTAATCACTGATCAGTGATGCACCACCCCTAGAGCCTGACTTATGGATGAGCTGCCAGGGAATCTCTCCTGATCTTGCTGGCTTCCCACCAAAAACTCTTCCAGCAGACAAGTCCTCTGTATTCATTCCACACACTAAATGAAACAAGACAAAACAAAGAAACTATGTAATGTGAATTCACTTTACATACACAAAACCCCTCTCTAACTGTCTGTCCATCATCAAGCCACAATTATTATTACCAGGATAGCAAGGTGGAATAACATCATTGTTGTTTTCTTCTGCCCATTTCCGATCTACTGCACACTTGTATCTCACTACAAAGGAGGAGGAATGAAATAAAAAAGAGTTAATGACTTATCAATGATAAATAATAGAGGAAGGTAGTATCTAACCTTTAGGTGTATCCCCAAATCTGTAGTATGGCTCATTGCATTGATACTCTATAACAGATTGATATTCATTTCTTTCTCCACTGATAAAAGTAAAGTTTCCATTTAGCAGCGGCTTTGGAGCTCCACAGTCAATAACTGCAACATGGACAACATAGAAGCATAATGATGAATGGAAGAAATTTAGCAAAGTGGTAAATCAGGTGAAGTGCATCTACTCACTCTTGCACTCTGGCAGTGGCACATTCCATTGTCCATTACTCTGACATATAGACTTAAACCTTGAAATTTCTATATCTCCCTTTAGAAAAAAGTCAAAGAAAACACTTCATCAAATCACAATAACGCTTATGTGTTTACTGATATAACAAGCGATTTGGCTGTCTGTACCAACTGCGACACAACAGAACACATTACGACATGACAAAAACGGTTAAGCACTATAGACATTCAGAATCACTGCACTCCCAACTTAATGTTAATGTTCATAATCAATACATATTAAACATTGTTAAAAGTACATAGACAACACTGAGTGATGGATGTTGTCACAGCGAGGTCTGTTGCGTAACTGAGGGCGTGGCTCACCCCACAAGTCAATGAACCCTTGGGCAAGCCTGAGCTTTACAGTGGGGGCTTAAGCCTGGTTTAAACTTCTGCGTCAAATGATCAGCGTGACCCACATTGCATGCAGTGCAAGTAGCTGAGCATTCATACCTCTGCATGCGGTTTCTGTTGCTCTGCAACAACACTTCCGAAACGCTAGTTGGCAGTAGGTGTTTTTATTCCTCTGTGTCGAGTTTCTTCCCTGGTGTTTAGCTTATTCTGAACGCTTCCTTAATGTACAAGTGGTTCAAACCTGTTCATTTTGAGGCAGGAACCGCCGGACGTGCAACAACTTTAATCATAAGGTAAACACAAAACAAAACTTTACATCTGGAGCTCCTACACGGGACTCCACACTCCAGCATCAGGCTCTTGGTCCCGCCCACACTTGTCAGCGCTACCAAGCCAACCAATCACAGGGCTTGCTCTACGCATTGCTGCGACATATAGTTACATTTTTAAGAGGTGTGCGTCATCGATGCCGATGGCCACGGCGATGGCTATGCGTCCACGCGTAGGCCGCACTGTAGCATAAGTGTGTGCTTGACGCAGAAGTCATGAATCAGCCTTTATTTGTCGTCTTCAGGCATGTGAGCCCCACACTCCTCTGCAGTGCTCTCCATCAGAGCTTCGAGCATGTGTAATGGTTCACCCTTCATGGCGCATCACCCTTGCCATGCTCTCCTGGTTTGCTTCAGGGGTAGGGTTGGAGATGGCTTGTCTCTCAGTCCCGCTGTCGGACTGACTAGATGGGTACTATGTGGGGATCAACAAGATGTAAAACCCTCTAAGCCCCATGTCCCCTTTTTCCTGGAGGTGCACAGTGAGCTCATGCAGGCATGGAAGATGCATTTCACTGCTCGGCACTTGTGTGCTTCTGCCCTCACCACCCTTGATGGCGGAGTGGTGCACAAAGGAGGCAGATCCAGCCTTTTCACTGCTGTGTCACATCCACTCTGTACTTTTATGTGGACTGCACTCAGAACATGAGATCTTCTGAGCAGCTCAGGTCACCAAAAGTGAAGTGCCATATGAAAATAGAGGTTGGCTCACTAAATATTTGATGTCATCGCCTTCGTTTATCAGTGCCAGGGCAAGGCGGTAAGTGTGAGAGTGCACTAATCAAAAAGGGTTGCCTCCTCTTGAGCATTAGCATGCGGATCCTCTCTAGCAGACATCTATAGAGCTTTGTGCTGGGCAATGGCTAAAATATTCACAAGATTCTATAATCTTAAGGTGAAGCTTGCTCCGTTAACCCAGAGATGCGTGCGCTTATTCTGCTCTGCTTAGCAAGTTCCCCATCTGGCAAACCCTAGAGAGTTCCTCTGAGGTCTGGAGGAGCCAGGACATGTATGCTGTTGATCAGCCGCAATGTCGCAGAAAATACAAACCCTTTCTAATATAGGAATTTAGAGTGTTGAGGCTGCAGACCTTTGGCCAGAAACTCCTTTTAACATGGAAACAATAGCTTTTGTTGTGTTGCAGCATTGTGTTGCATGTGGTTATAACACATTTCTGCATTCACTGCACTTCTTTTCTGTTGTTATTTCTACGCAAACATGCACTTGATGAAAGTTTTCAACTGTTGTGCTCACATCTTTTGCAGCATCTCACACATAATGAAAAAAACGGAGAGCTTATGTTAAATGTTGTTCAACTCAAAAATGCATATGTGAACTGCATTTACAGTTTACTGGCTTTACCATCTGCATTATGTTATATCTCACCCTCATGAGCTTGTATCCCGGATTACAGCGCACATGAATGTAGTCTCTGTATAAGTACTGGGCAAAATTTGGTGTGACTGCTCCATTGGTGACACTGCCTGGATCTGGACACTGTACTCCTTTAAAAAAAAAACATGAGATGTGTTACTGTCCACCAGTGTGATCTGAAATCCACTATTGAACACATTTACATGCACACCAATACACTAAAATAATCCATAATTATGATTTACATGCAAAGCAATAACCCGGAAATGCAAGTAAGCATTGCAGTGTTTACAAGACTTTATGAACAAATTCCAGAAGCAACTTCTGTCTGGAACTGTAAGAATTTTATTGTGTAACTAAAAGTATTGTCATTCATTCTTTCATTCTTTTTTTTTGGCTTAGTCCCTTTATTAATCTGGGATCACCACAGCAGAATGAACCACCAACTTATCCAGCACGTTTTATGCAGTGGATACCCTTCCAGCTGCAACCCATCACTGGGAAACATCCATTCACACCCATTACAACATACACTACGGACAATTTAGCTTACCCAATTCACCTATACCACATGTCTTTGGACTTGGGGGGGAAAACGGAGCACCCGGAGGAAACCCACGCAAACACAAGGATAACATGCAAACTCCACACAGAAACGCCAACGGAGCCAGCCGGGGCTCGAACCAGCGACCTTCTAGCTGTGAGGCGAATGTGCCCCCTCAGGAGTGAAAGTGCACTCGAGAAGAAGTGTCGCCTCCTGTTGGGCGCTACCCACTGCGCCACAGTGCTACCAAAGTATTGTCATGTTAAACAAATAAATCAAAACTGCAGAAGAATTTACATTTTGCTTTCAAGGTGAACATTTTTGACTTTTGGGTTCAAAAGATTTGGTTTAAGAAACCATCTGCGTGTACATTATATTTCCTTCTCCTTTACCACATTTGCTCTGTCTGAATGTGCTTAAACCTGCAAAACCACATTCTTGTCACTCATTAAACATGCACTTTAATAAGTTGACGGAAAACAGATAAAAGTGTTGAAATGCTGAAGAAAAAAAAAATCTGCATAAGGGACAAAAAAAAATCTAGGTGATCAGTTGTGATAATGTGCAACATTTTTTTTATCTCACTCTCTGTGGTGTAACGTAAACTCCAGCCTCGACTCTCTCCATATCTGTCAGTGTGATACTTCAGCTGAACGAAGTGAGATTTTGTGTTTAGGACACCAGGACTTTTCCCTCCACAGTACTTATGAGTATCCTTCCCTGGGACAAACACCTGAGAAACACGAAAAGCAGGTAAGTGTAAATAAAAACCTTAAAAATAAATAACTACAAAGACAATTACAGCAAAGCATACTTGCAGCCAGTGGAAGAGGCAGGTCGACCCTTGAATGTCAACTCGTTCAATGTGGAAGTTCTGGCTGAAGTTGAGAGTGATCATGAAGCCTGGCTGTACAGAGATGTTGTAGACGCAATCCAGATCAAGCGGAGATGTGTCTGGATAACCAGGACTGGAGATGCTCCCCTCTAGTTCACTGTGCAGGCCACCTCCACACTCCACTGACACAAAAAGCAAACATACACCATTTAATGATGGGCTAGCATTTCTAAAATAATTTTTTAGGGAATTACAACTATGGGATCAAATTCACGCCACATATATTGCGAAAAATAATATTTGTAAATAAAAAACTTACATTTCGTGTAAAATCATAACAAGCATGCGTAAGGAAAGATAATACGCTTGAATCAAAAATGAAATTGAGTTTAGAATTACATTGCACAAAACCGAAACCTGAATTTAAAGATGTCCTAATTGCAAACAAAATGTTTGCTTAATGTCTTTCCCACAATCAGCGATTGCATTTGCAAAAGATACACACAACTGATTGTTTGTTTTAGATTACTGCAAATTACATTGTAATTAAACCAGTTTACTTTTCTAAAATAATAGTGTACCTACATTATGTGATATATGCAAGTAGGAGGGAACAATGTGAAAGGTTTGGGAAAAACAAGCGATTACAGCACCACTTTAACTTAAGCCAACAAACATTATTATTATGTTTATGTTGTATGTTATTTGTATTTATTTCAAACATTTTCAAATAGGCAAATATTCAGGGCTACTGGTAAAAAACAAAAACGCCTTTTCCCAATATCATGTGACCGTAGTATACTTTCCTGTTATAGTTGGTTGTTTTTTATTGTACATTATTCATATGTTTAATTCTGCTTGACAGATTTTTTTATTTTATCATATTTTTTGTATTTTAGCAGGGTTTTACAATTATTTCACTAAATTAATTAATTCACCAATGTTGATCCTGGACCATCAAACTTATCAATTCACTAATGTTGATCCTGGACCATCAAATTTATTTCACTAATGTTGATCGTGGACCATCAAACTTATCAATTCACTAATGTTGATCCTGGACCAACAGATTTATCAATTCATTAAAGTTGACCCTGGACCATCAAACTTATTAATTCACTAATGTTGATCCTGGACCATCAAATTTATTTCATTAATGTTGATCCTGGACCATGAACTTTACAAATTGACTAATGTTGTTCCTGGAACATCAAATTTATCAATTCACCAATGATGATCATGGACCATCAAACTTATTTATTTATTAATGTTGATCCTGGAAAATTTAATTTAATAATTCACTAATGTTGATCCTGGACCATCAAATTTATCAATTCACTATTGTTGATCCTGGACCATCAAATTTATCAATTTAGTAATGTTGATCCTGGAAAATAAATTTAATAATTCACTAATGTTGATCCTGAACCATCAAATTTATGAATTCACTTATGTTGATCCTGGATCATCAAACTTATTCATTCACTAATGTTGATCCTGGACCATCAAATTTATCAATTCACCAATGTTGATCCTGGACCAATAAACTGGACCATCAGACTTATTAATTCACTAATGTTGATCCTGGACTATCAACTTTATCAATTCACCAATGTTGATCCTGGACCATCAAATTTATCAATTCACCAATGTTGATCCTGGACCAATAAACTGGACCATCAGACTTAATAATTCACTAATGTTGATCCTGGACCATCAAACATATTAATTTACTAATGTTGATCCTGGACCAATAAACTGGACCATCAGACTTATTAATTCACTAATGTTGATCCTGGACTATCAACTTTATCAATTCACCAATGTTAATCCTGGATCATCAAATTTATCAATTCACTAATGATGATCGTATGCCAACAAACTTATCAATTTACTAGTGTTGATCCTGGGCCATCAAACTTATTCACTAATGTTGATCCTGGACCATCAAATTTATTCATCAAATTTATCAATTCACTAATGTTGATCCTGGACCATCAAACTTATTTATCAAATTTATCAACTCACTAATGTTGATCCTGGAAAATAAATTTAATAATTCAGTAATGTTGATCCTGGACCAACAAATCTTATTAATTCACTAATGTTGATCCTGGACTATCAAATTTATCAATTCACCAATGTTAATCCTGGATCATCAAATTTATCAATTCACTAATGATGATCGTATGCCAACAAACTTATCAATTTACTAGTGTTGATCCTGGGCCATCAAACTTATTCACTAATGTTGATCCTGGACCATCAAATTTATTCATCAAATTTATCAATTCACTAATGTTGATCCTGGACCATCAAACTTATTTATCAAATTTATCAACTCACTAATGTTGATCCTGGAA